AAGAATGCCACAACGCTAGCAATTAGCCGCATCCCGACGATAACTTCAGCATGAGTTCACATAAAAGATCATAGAAGTCTCGACACCTCATCAGGCCAGCTCATACCTGAGAATTGGCGCCTACATGCATCATAAAACTCTGTTTGTCTGTACAAAATCTAAGTTAATGCGCGTGAGATCAGTACAAGCATGCATGAGGCACCTTGAAGACGCTAACATCAGGTATTTTGTCAAGGTTTTTTTAAAAAATACCTGTAATCATCAGGTATTTTTGTCAAGACAGTCGCAGAGGTTTTACGACCACGGTTGTCAATTGTCATCAGCATGCCCTTATTCTTCCTAACTGTCATTACTGATCACAGCAAACGATCAGAAACGACAAAAAGTATTGTTATTCAAAAACTGTGACCGCACACAATACCTGCTCGTTGCGGTCACCTAGGCACATTTAGAACGCCTAAGACTGCCAGGTGGTCAATAATAGTTCCAAGCTTTAATCCAAATTGCCATGACCACAACGCTGTGCTGTGCCAATTAAGCGCACGGTAATAAACAATTAAGAAAACATCATTACTGGCGAGTGTCCCTATTCAAACAGTAGTCGTTTGTTTCATAATGAAATTGACTGACGCATGCTGCGCATTATACATAGGACATATTCGACAATACATCTTCACTAATACATGTTCAATTATAAGTAAAATTTCGTTGACAAGTAAATACATGTTCAATCAAAAGTAAATACTTCGTTGCAACTACATAACACAGATCTAGAATTTGAATGAATTGAAATTGATAGAGTTGTGAAATAAATCGCTCCAATTGATTTAAATTATTAAATTATTTTGAAAGAACGCATGGAAGTAATGAGGTAACTGGTAAGTGCCTTTGCTGACGCGGTTCGAGCCAATTTCACGTTAACGATTTAGTTTTTTTTATCTTACGAAACAATACAATTGAAGAAGATCTATTTATTATCTCAGGTCTTGCGTGTATTGTGCTACAAAACAAGATCATTGATATCGCGTATCATTGAACATAATGCGTCGATTAGCTCGGTGCAATGTTGGACTTATCAGCCGGACAGGAAGCCGAGATAAACTTCCATCCGGATGACGACGTTCCAAATTGACGAACAAGGCAGCAATTACAACGGCTGCAGGAGAAAACTATTGCTTAATTTGATTATACCAGACTTACTGATACATAATACCTAGAGTCAAGTGTATAGCTAGTCATGAAATTTCTCACTTAGTTTACAAGAGAAAGAAATTCAATTATCACCACAAAATTCTTTATTTAAATTATGAGTGCTGCATTTTGCACAGTATTTTATTCCTTATAATTAGAACGAAACCAATTATTATGAAATGTTAACAAATTTATAACATCTCAATATAGTGGGATCTGAATGATTTCATTATCTCGAGACTAACATGGTTAAAAAACGGCCCTTTAAACCGCCTACGTAATCTCTTCATACGTCAAGCTCATGATCAGATCCACGAGCCAAGTTCTACAATCAATTACTGAGCATTCAGAAGACAATGGTGAGTATTAGGCCATCAACAGCATCATAAGAGTTTCAAAGAGCCGCTACTTAGCTCACAATAAATTCGGCATCTGCCACAAAACGAACCATAATTAGGGCACATCCTCAACCAGCAGTCCTCATACGGACAAATGGTTTAGCCACCGGTGCGCATTACAACTCAAATTACAAACTCTGCAATTACAGATGGACTTAAACATACTCATCGGAGGGTCATAAATTTCGAGGGTGAGCCTTGTCCAACGCTTCGCAACCATTCTGGGCACGAGAAATGGCTTTACCGGCCTCAGGATTTATTTATTGGTATTTTGCGCAGGTGCAGCACTTCAGAACCAGGAGTGCGAACGAAGAAAGGCACGAACGAGGTACGGGGCTAGAAAATTTTTTGGTATAATACAACGGCACGTTGAATGTTTTTCGCTATATTGTCAAAATAAAATTCTAAAACTAATTCATTCGAGTCAAACCGGAATCTAGATTATGAATTTAATATAACTCGGCATCTTATAAGGAAAAAAACGCAGAAAATGTTCGGCGCCAACGGATAAGTCCAAGACAAAACTAGTAGCTTGCGCGTTGAATATTATAATTAAAAATACACAGAAAAAGTGTGAAATTAAGTAGCAAGGTTTACGATAGGTTAAATTTGGAGGCAAGATTCATTCGTCAGAGCTCACGTCCACTCAAGTGTTCCGACGCATATCGCTCAACATAAACCTTCACAGAGCGGCACAACAAACCAATATCGCCCTAGCTCTTTATATTCAAGAACTTCATTCATCTACAAATCTAGTGAATTATCGCAACGTAATGTTCATCCGTACACCCAAAATAAGGCATGAAAACAAAATAATTAATTCAATCCCAGGATGTTGGTTGGAGCTTAGGGAAAATTACGGATGCATTACTGAGCATAACTTGGTTTATAATCTCTAAATAATAATTCCAAAATTGGAATTATTGCTTAGACCTAAATTATTATTGCGTACACCTAAAATGAATAAAATCATTTAACCAAAACGTATCGCAATTGTACAATTAATACTCGCTGGGTATGATATTGACGAGTTTGATATTACAGCAGGCAGACAATGAGATGAATTTTCGACGAGCGCGCAAAGCTAGCGTCAAGAGAGCAAGAAGCTCGAAGAAGAAAAGCCCGAGTGAGAGCAGAAGCGAGGCGTTTAGACCTAAATTATTATTGCGTACACCTAAAATGAATAAAATCATTTAACCAAAACGTATCGCAATTGTACAATTAATACTTGCCGGGTATGATATTGACGAGTTTGATGAGATTACAGCAGACAGACAATGAGATGAATCTTGGACGCGCGCGCAAAGCTAGCGTCAAGAGAGCAAGAAGCTCGAAGAAGAAAAGCCAGAGTGAGAGCAGAAGCGAGGCGTCTATTGTCCTCGCAAGTCGAGGAAGCAGAGATGCCGAGCTATATTTTAGGAGCTGTCAATTACCGAGATTGGGTAAGAGCTGCCGAGAGGAGAAGTGCCTCAGCTGAGGGACTGCTTTTCGAGGGACGACTTGCTACGTCGCAACTTCATGTTCAAGTGATATGAAAACAATAAATTTGTATACTTTTGATGAAAAACCAGTAGTGCTTCATCAAATTACTGCGCAAGTCGCCATCATGGTAAAACCGACACGATAGCCTCACATCCCTGTTTCCAAAATAAGGCTTAAAACGAGGAAGTAAGAGTAAAAGGCAATAAATACATCATTATTGAGCATCAAAAACAATATACATTTAATTGTAGTTTCGGCACAGATAATGCAACTACTGATAGCATCTCATTACGAAGTTAAAGTACCAAGCTGTTACAAAGTCTTTTTGATCGTAACATTCATCATGAATTCAACGAGAGCGAGGTTCAAAATAGCAAAATTTTTACTTTAAGAACGCTACCAAGAGAATTGCGGTCAGGACTGGCGACTAAAATGATGAAAAACACCCGCCAGAATCGATCCCTTGAGAGTAATTTTATAGGGCCACATTGATTGTGATGGTCAGAGGGAGGAGCGCGCACGAGCGTCGCAATGAGCGAGGAAGGCAGAAGTTATAGGTCATTGTGTTGGACCTTTGGTATCTTCTTGTTCTCAACGACATGGATCCGGCATAAGAAATATTTTGTGAGGTTTCACTTGAATAATTTCATCCCGATCACAGGCGGTAGTAAAACACAAGTTATAAGTTATTGAGAGAGTTCTTTCAAATCAAATAGTTAACTGACAACGCATGTCACAACACATGATTCATGAATGAATCAATTATCAAGCAGCAAGATGAACTTACTTTTACGTGAAAAATGTTCGTAATCGAGTCTTCCAATCACATCATTGTTCGCATCAAATGACAGAATAACCTGAGATCAACTTAGGCACATTTCATAATTACTAGTTATTAACCTCATTACTTAAAAAATGAGTAATTATATACAGCCTGTTGAACAACATCGAAAATATACAGTTTCACCGAACGAAATTTCAGTACCGTAAAATGGGGTAACTTAGACCACTTTTTTTTTCAAAATGATGCCATTTTTTTACTAGATAAGTTAAACTTATAATGAAACATGCAAAATACAGGTCTATACTCTAGCTTTACTCACCATAAATTGCTGGCTCCTGCCTCTCATAGTTTTGATGTAATTTTAAAAAAAGTGGTGGTCTTTGTTACCCCAGCTCTTGGGGTAACTTAGACCGGGTGGTAAAATCAATTATATTTTTTGGTAAAATAACTCCAAATAACTCCAGGTTTTAGTGCATTGTAGTAGAACTCTTCTAGTTACATATGCAAATGACAAACTTGAGGAAAGTGTCATAGTTTGCAAATGGGGGGCGCCGCCCCATAATGAGTGAAATGTGACTACCTAATGGCAGCCCTGATGGGGTAATATTGACTGGCTTGGAAATTAAGTTTTTTCTATATCAAATAGTTTTTGAGTTGTGGGGGTTTTTGTTAAAAAAACGAAAAGTGGTCTAAGTTACCCCGCCGGTCTAAGTTACCCCATTTTATGGTACTAGAATCACTTGATTGCCCAGACCGTTACAATCTTAGAATTTATAGCAAAAAAAATTTAGAAGAATCGCCATCAACAATCTGAAGGTCTTTGGTCTTTTATAAAGAACTTGACTTTTTTCGCTTCTAAATTCATAGCAGTTCTTGGTATTTTCTTAGCAATTATTAGCAAGATACGGTTAGAGAACTTGAGAGCTCTAGTCCAAGACACACGGGAAGACTAAGGTACTGACCACATCAGGTGTAGAGGCGCCGTCGGTGTGTGTGAAAGTCTTTGGTCTTTTATAAAGAATTTGAATCTTTTCGCTATTAAACTCATAGCATTTATTGGTATTACTTAGCAATTAATAGCAACATACAGTCTGAGAACTAGAGAACTCTAGTCCAAGACACACAGGGATGACTAAGGTACTGACCACATCAGGTGTAGAGGCGCCGTCGGTGTGTGTGGTATCGGCAGACGCTCGGCCTGCGGTTGCAGAGCCGTTATTGTTCGAATCGCCCGGACCTAAAGGCTCGGGTTTAGGTCCGTCTCGTTCGTCTATGACCAGGTCTATAGGCATCTTGCCCTTCAGACAAGAGATGTATCGATGACAGAAATTGTCACACAGTTCATGGACCTGAAAAGAGATTAAATTCAACGTTAATAACTAACAAAAACAACACTATCCATCAGTATAAAGGGATAAAATAAAAAAAAATGTTTTCTAAATATAAATGTTCTACATTTTAAATGATTGTACAAAAAATGTACAATCCAATTACATGTGTGGAAACGCGACCGGTGCGGTAGCACTTCGGAGCACAAGGCATCAATTCATGTAGCGAAATGCTACTAGCACCAAGCAATATACGCGAACGTTAGCTCCCTGATTCCCTCGCCATCGATTTCTTAAGCAGTATGATCAGTTGGATCACATATAGCAGGGCTCATTGAATCCCTTATTTGGTCGGGTGGTGTGGCGACCAGCGGCAAGCCATCCTATCAATTCATTTACTCAAAAAATTTCTTTCATCTGCACAGGTTCTACTTTATAGTTAAGTACGTTAAGATAAACAATATGTCTTCATTGAGAAAATTTTCAGTGTAATCGCATGTGGTTCAAACAACTAAAATCATGTTAATGAATTCATAAGTCGACTATTTACTCAAAGGCACATTTCATGCTCATTTGAACTCAGACCTGCTTACTTCAATAAAAAAACAATATAATTTTCAATTTGGCCGTCTCATAACCTTTGGAGCAAAACGCCATCCTTTAGAAAATCATCGTGCTTTTAACTCTGTGCACGGAGATCAGGATCTCTCCTTATCCACGTATACGTACGGCACTGCGGATATGAAGGGCCGCCCTCGCGTCGTCGCTTACAACCCTCGCCCAATTCGCTTTAGGATCGACAGCTAAATTGGAAAATATTATCAATTTACGCTTTCTGCCGAGAGAGAAGCAAGGGCGTCGTTCTTCACTAGAAACTGATACTCGCAGCAGACGCTTGAGGCAGGGGATGCTGGCGCTTAAAGGGAAGGATTTGCGTCCTAAAATCTTTTGGATCCACAAGGTTGTGTAATAAGGTTGATTGACAACTCTCTTTACCCCAAAGGCTTGAAACTATTACTAACAGTCGCACACTGAAGCTGATAGAAGATAATCAGATTTGTCGTTCAATGAAAGATGATCAACCAACACATTTATCGAGATCCTACCAATTTATCGTAGAAAACTACCAAGTGCATGGGACTTCCTTATGAATGCTAACAAAATCGACATAAAGAACTGCGTTAAAATGTGGTATAGGTTAAGTTAGAAGTATCTCCCCAAGCCCAGTTTTATTGAAATTATATCACAGGAAAGAGTGTGAACCATGCATTGTGCAACCATAATTATACAATGAGTTAACATGAAGTGCCAGGTTATCCAATATGAATTAAGTGACAAGTTCGAAAACTGTTCCGCGAACAAGGGAAGTAGAAAAGCAAACAAACAAGCCGGTAGGTACATAAGTAAGAGAGAGAGAGAGAAAGAGAGACACGAAAGAAAAGTTTAAGGAGGGAAACGAGAAGGAAGAAGAGGAAGAGGAGAAGGAAGAGATAGAGGAGGATGAGAAGAAGGAGGAGGTGGAGGAGGGGTCGGTCTGCCCCTTTAACCTGTCAGAGACAGGCGGAACGGCGGGGAGTCACGAAATGAGGGTCCAGAATAAAAATAAATAAACCACGGCGATGAAGAACAACTTCATTTCTAGTTCTTGAAACTCCTTTTCGAGGGCTATCTTCGAGTCTACGAATTGCAGGCAAAGCAATACATGCAATAGCATGTATATACATGCTTTTCTGGAAGACTGTAGACATATTAACCATCATCAGAAAGCGAAGATCATTTTTATTGATGTTTGTGTACTTATATTCAGCATGACAGCTGATTGCATAGATATACTCGCATCGATATATTCTCGGTACAGAAACGCTCAATAACAACTCTAATCGTAGACCACTGAAATATCACATGTTGGGTCCACCTTACCTTATTATATTTATATAATAAGGTATTGTAAGGCAACTGTATTGATCAGCCAAGGGAAATAAGTGCGTTAAATAACTAGAAATTTGGGGCGCTGTTCAAATTAAAGTTGCGATCCTAGGAACCAACACACCTCGCTAAGCTGCGCAAGAGTAGCAAAAGCGTCGCCAAGGCGCGACTGCAGAAAAAAATCTTAATGCCTAAATTAGGAGCCGACAAGCTGGCTTCAGATCGCGAGACTACATACAAGCTGAGATGAGAGCGCCGCGTCTGGGTCGCCCGGCCGAGGATAATGAACCATAGGGTGCTGGTACACGGGGACAGTGCTGGCTGCCAGTATAACTTTCGAATGCTATCCACCACTATTTACCGAACTATCTGATTCTTTTATAGGCGCTATATAATGGACACGGCAGAATTTAGTAACCATTTATGCTAGGCTAGTTCAATGATTATTTGTGGCGGTAAGTATTTGAAAGTTGTACTAGCAGCCACTACTGTCCCGGTTTAGAAGCACCACAAGACTTCGGCAATCTTGACTGATAAAAAATTTCAATAATGTAGAAGAATGTATAAGGAAGAGAAACCTAGAACAAGCAAAAAATACAAGAAGTAGCGACCATAGGATGAAACAAAATAAGGTCGAATTAGACGACAATATTGGCATACAACATCAACTTGAATGAAAACCGCAAAATGAAAACACCAAGTGCTTTTCGAGTTAAGTTCGATGCATGGGCTAAGGCAGGTTCAGAAGCTCATTCATCTCTTCTATTCTAAGGCAGTTTTTCTCTTGCAACTTTATTCAAAACTACAGGCACAAATAACCAAGAGAACCTCTTGCAAAGAGTGCAACAGTTGAGAAATAAAAAGCAAACTATGCTTATACGCTAAGCTATACGCCAACGAAGAAGGTACACAAGAAAGTTCCACATTCGTTTCTATCATATTTGTATTGGAGCTGCTCCTCCACAGTGGATTCACAATTAAAAAGTTATTTCCAATTTATTTCAGTTACAGAAATTGGAATAAGAATTAACGGTATTGACATCATAGATAAAAACAACGAAACCAGAAATGTAGGTGAAATAAATAAAAGTCTAACGTAGCGGATGAGGAAGCAAATGCAATAAGCTACTAGATTATGAAAAACCGAAACCAAGCATTCAACGAGTCAAGTCAGAATGTGAATTTGGTGTAAATGATGCCTAAGTGAGAAGGTGTTAGCGGGAAGCCAATCCACCCCTCGCTCGTAAGCCCTCGTGCGCCAACCCTCAATTGAGGCACTTCAAAGAACAAGGTCGCGCACGAGCACAAACAGGAAGGGTTTTTCCATTTCAAAGTTGGCGATGTGATTTAAATTATGCACGCCAGGAATCTGTTAAAGCGCGACTTAAGAGACCGGAAAATGAAGCGAGTTCGTAATCGGGTCACAGCGAGACCAAGAGGAAGAAATTAGCATGGCATTGATCGAGCTGCTATCTCTCAGCGGCACAGCGGTTAACTCGACAATAGCAAGGGAAGACATTTCGATGAAATGTTTGCGTTATGACTTATGAATTGTCTTCGAGCTTTAACCTGATAAAATATTTTAAAAGAGGTTTCTTCGCAAACGAATGACTACAAAAAGTAATAATCACAAATAAATCAGTTTATAATTTCAAGAGTAGCTGTTCCACCGCCGATGCAAAATTTATTAGTACGAAAATGCAAAATTTATGCTCAAGTAAATTGGGAGTTTAGCCACATTCACGAGAGAGAACAAATCTTCTTCCTATGGGGAGATATCGACAGGCTCTCGATAGCGGATGACGCAGCAATGGATTGGATGCACCTGCGCTTAAGCCATGCATGATAAATGGTTAAACGTCCCGGAACTGAATGAAAGCATCCAACCCCTTATGCTATTATTTTTTGGTGATTAAAATTCTAAACAAATTTAAACTCATAATTCTACTAATACAATATATCTCGGCGGTTTCAATCCATGAAACAAAATCGTATTGAAAAGATGTTAAAAACATTGAATTGGATGAATACAAGTGGGCAGATACCCAATCTAAATATGAAGGGTTCGAACTTCAAAGTAGAACAGTCCATAATTCAAGGCAAATTATTGAACTATGATGCCCCATTACATTTCAGATCAATTCGTTAGCATCAAGGATTACAAGGAATTGTCTTCAATAATTAGAATGAAAGCTCTTTGATATATATAGGTATATCATCTAATTATACACTCACCTTTTCTAATTCTAAAAGATGAAACCGAAGTACTTGTATCGCTTGTACCATCTGCAAAAAAAGACGAATTTGCGTTAAGAAATTTTTACGAGAAATTTCTGCAAAAAAGTATGATTAACTTTTAAAACTTACTTTGCAAAATTAAAAGGCGTATATACAAAACAACGATCAGTTACACAAGTGTTGCCTAGAGCGAGTGAACTCAATTGACTTGATTACATTTGGCAACAAGTTTGAGGCAAAATGTTCTCTCGTACTGCATGGAGATGGGAGTGAGTTGAACAATTTGTGTCCTTCTGCCCGCAAATTAATCTAATATTGTGCATCAACTCGTATTCAAGACAATGCATTGGGTCAATTCTTTCACAGTTGCGAACTCACATCAAACCAACACCCATTGGACGCCAAAACTGTTTCTAATACCCAGAATGAACCAAAGCTTAGAAATAAACTATAAAATTGGATGCAGATTTCAGCGCTTGATAGAAGTTCAACGAAGCAGTGAAGAAAAATTCAATTTCGTAACCACAAATACGATTTATGGAGATGCACTTAAAACTGTCATTGAAATCATTACGATAAGTAGCTTTACAGTCAGAATTAAAGTTGAGCTATTAAAAATTTGCATGTCACGTTATAGCTTTGCTCTCTGCATGAACTAGAAGGAAGACCCCCGATAGAACCCCTCTCTCTCTCTAGGCCCCCTTCCCTTGCAACCATTCCAGCAGCGAGAGCCAACAATGGCAAGAGGGAAAGAATGAAAGAGGATGGTCGGGGGGCAAAATGGCTGCCATAGATTGCTTGCCTCTTCAACACCAGCTGCTTTGTCTACTGCCTCTTCTCAACGGCGGCACGAAATGGTACAATAATATACGAGCATAATTCCTATACACCGTTTTCGTCCTGCATGTTTCAAATACTGTAACTGTATGAGTGTACATAAATCGTAAAGATAGCAATATTAATGAAGCTTCTTTGTGAGGTACAGAAACGAATCAGTGCACTCGGCGTGCATCCTGCAAAGATGTACGTTTCAAGGTCATTTATTTTCAAGAATTTTCGACAAATGTTGTAATTTCGAAGAAAATGAACTGTTGTATATACTACTTTTGAATGCGGCATTCAGAATTACAATAAAACTTATTATAGCAGAAACGTATCATGACCAACGATAATGCCGTTGAGCTTTACGTCGGCACTCGCTTTCTGATTTCAATTTTGCAAAACTTTCTGTAAGAAGAATTTATTGTGTCTTATTTTAATTTTTGTATGTCTGAAAAAATACATTGGACCCTATTAAATGCCTAAACTAAAATGAATGCACTTACTAAACTGTCGAGTTCTGGATTGCCTTGATAATATGGTTTCTCTTGTCTGATCTGAAAAAAGAAAAAGAGGAGTGTTAAAACAGGGTACATATTAAAAGCGTAAATGATTTTTTTCAGTACACATTAGTTAAAATTGTGACCGCAAGCTCGACCTATGATCGAAAAAGTTTTAGTTAAAATTCTCGTCAAATAAGAAAGAACGATGTTACCTCGCAGCAAGAGAAATAATATAGACAAAATAATGGCAGAGATACAAAGCAAATAAGCAACAAATAATTCGGAGAAGCACCAGCCTGCTGATCCTGCACAAGATATAATGCGTGTGTACAGGTCGAGGCCGCGTCACTGTACGATCTGCATAAGCAGCGTCTGCCTTGCGAGGTCTCTTGAGCCCCTTTACCCAAACTTTGCCAATTCACATTAAGGGATTGATCACAATAAAACTCCATTAAATTACATTGCAAAAATTAATCAGGAACTTTGAGAGAAGTTTGGCACGATTCGTGCGGGCTATTTTCAATGGAACGTTCCGGCGCGGCGGAGGTAATGAACAGATTTAATTTGAGCTGCGAGGGGCGACGGCACCGCGATCGAAGTGAGAGGGAAGAGTGAGGGGAGTGCGTGGGAGAGGGGGGAGTAAGTGGAAGAGTGAGGGGAGTGCGTGGGAGAGGAGGGAGTAAGTGGAAGAGTGAGGGGAGTGCGTGGAAGATGAGGGAGTAAGTGGAAGAAGAGTGAGGGGAGTGCGTGGAAGATGAGGGAGTAAGAGGAAGAGTGAGGGGAGTGCGTGGCAGACGAGGGAGTAAGTGGAAGAGTGAGGGGAGTGCGTGGCAGATGAGAGAGTAAGTGGAAGAAGAGTGAGGGGAGTGCGTGGCAGACGAGAGAGTAAGTGGAAGAAGAGTGAGGGAGAGCATGGAAGATGAGGGAGCGCGTGGAAGAAGAAGAGTGAGAGGTATGCGTGGAGACGCGAGAGAAAAAAAAAAGAAATGTGAAACAGATGAGAATGTGGAAGTCAAGGTTTTTTTCCACCGAATACTATGAATGTAGGACAATATATCATCATTTTGTGGAAAAGTTAAGATAATGCTAAGTATTGGATATCATTGACCGTTAGGCACAGCATATTAATAAAAATCTAAGATAAAAGAAGAGCAGACGCTACAGGAAGAGCAGCCCTCACAAAAGCCCTTGTCTTGCAGCGCTCCACCTGTCCAATGCAAGGCGCTCGCTATATAAGACCGGCGGTGCTGGGCAATACCGCAGCAATCGATACGTTGTGCCATCGAGCTGCACTCCTAGAAACCACGGCACGCGAGGCACCCGGCAACAAGACGGCAACACGGTAATCTTCATAAGCACTACACGCAGGGCACCCGGCAACAAGACGGAAACACGGTAATCTTCATAAGCACTACACGCGAGGCACCCGGCAACAAGACGGCAACACGGTAATATTCGCAAGCACAGCACGCAAGGCACCCGGCAACAAGACGGCAACACGGTAATCTTCATAAGCATTGCACGCGAGGCACCCGGCAACAAGACGGCAACACGATAATCTTCATAAGCGCTGCACGCAAGGCACCTGGCAACAAGAAGGCAACACGGTAATCTTCATAAGCACTGCACGCGAGGCACCTGGCAACAAGACGGCAACACGGTAATCTTTAAGCACTGCACGCCAGGCACCTGGCAACAAGAAGGCAACACGGCAATCTTTTAAGCACTGCATGCTCGGTGCCCGGCAAACAGACGGCAACACGGTAATCTTATTACAGACCGCGATTCGGACATTCGGCAACACGCTCATCAACAAACAAATTGCGGAAATCGCAGTAAGCATCTTCAGTTAAAAAAAATTCGCGTCACCATTCAATGAACAAATACATCTAGATTATTAGATCATTTACTCTCAAATTATCTGAAGCGACACAAAATTGGTTAATCTTCCATAGAGTAATTATAATGAATAGAATTATATGCGTCGCATTGCTTCACAAAGTGCAAGTCTGTTCACATACAAAGAGAACTAGGGAAATAAGAATAATAGGGTGAATGGGAACTGACAATTTGTGGTTGTGGGAGAAAGGACGGCCGTCGTAGCCAGAATGCGGCCAATAAATTGCGATAAGGAGGTCGCTTAATGGCAACGGACGCAATACTAGACATGATCAATGGCAAGCGGAGGCAATACAAAACAGAGATGCTCTGACACAACAACACAAACTTAATCGTTATCCTACGAGACTCCGGTCTTCATTGTGAACAGCATCGATGCAGTTGGGCCCAACGTACGACTGACAACGATGCTGCAGTGATTGATGTTATAAGTTTTAGCGTCATCAATGTGAATACTCTACGCAGTTATTAAAATCAAAAATTACTTTGATATTCGTTTATATTTGTCACAGTATGCTCAAGGATTTTTTCACAGTATGGCACAAGCCACTGAAACTTAACCAAAGTTTTTTCTGTAACTATTTGCGAGCATATATGTATTTCGTTTTCTTAATGGTACAACGGCCAGAAGGTGGTGAAGACTTGTGACTATTTTTGAAATTTTATTAGATAATTTTATAATATTAATGTAGAATGTTGATGTAGGTCGTAATAGCGAAAGAGATTTTTTCGTATTTTGGCTGCTGGTAACGGCGTGATCTTGATAGCGCGCACATTTTGCTGCGGAAGGCAAAAGTGGAGCCTGAGGGGAGATACGATTGCAAGACACAAGGCAAGGGCGCTGCTCGCGGGAACGGCGAACGCAATGGCGAAGAAGATCTAAATTACGAACTAAATGGCCTAGAAAGACGAAGACGAGGGCCTTCCCAGGGCGACCCACAACCAGATTGGAAACGATGGCAGAAAATTTGAACGAAGCAATATACCGACTTCGATGTGCTCCTCCGCAACGTTCGAAGCAATTGCCTCAGACGAGGCTGGAGAGAACAAATGAATGGGAATGTAACAGAGATGGTGAAAACGAAATTTATAGGAGTATTGTTCTACATAACAATCACGCTTGTTGGAAGGAAGAATTGAAACGACACGAGTTTAAAATTTCCTACCCAATGACCTGATCCGTGAAAATTTTTAAACTACATAAGGCGAATTGTTCGGATGCCTAGTCTAAACGGGAAGGAATCAATGAGTATATGACTTTTCTCCAGCGATGTCTTTTTACGATGAAATTTAATAAAATAAGTCTTGTTTCGTTTCCGCGCGGTGCATGGTGGTGCAATAATCGTTCAAATGCTGTAGCGCCAAAAATTTTACACATGAATTCAACTCAGGACTGACTTACACATGACTCGCTCAAAAGTTCCTACAGAAAAGAGCCATGCGAAACAAAGTCAGCGCGACGCGTCCCACAAACTCAATTAACGCATGCGCTAAGTGCGTTATAAGGGCGTTACGCACGACGTGCACCGATCGCCGCCACGCTAACGAAATATCTCATCCATATATTTGATAACCAAGCCATTTTTACACGTACTTTTTTGTGCCACTGTGAAACAACGAAACAGCCTGATTCAACGAGAGGAGCGTTGATAACATTTTCGAAGCTTCCTCTCACGAATTCATATAAACGTAAAAATTTCTCCAAACTACTGATGATTTTCAGTTTCCATCACTTGAATGCTTCGCAGATAAAATTTCGAAATTCTCGTTATCTAGTAAATCCGAAGTAAGCAAATTCCAAATCGAATTCACATTCACTAGAACTTGGACATGGGTACTAAAATTTAGTACCCACTGCGCCTTGAACTATGTCAGTTATATGTACATATGTCTTGTTTAGGTCAACTTGGCTCTAAATTTGTGCGAGATAGTTTGATGGTAAATTTTTCAATAATCATGATAAATGAGTTTGCATGGCACTGCACATGCTCAAATTCTCATGCTAAAGTGCACTGACATTACGTATCAGTCTGATAGTTAGCTCAGCATATAAAATAGAAATAAAACAAATATAGCACTAAAAAAACTATGGAGAAATCTGCTTCAAAATGAGTTTTTCAACAGAAATCAGCAAAATTTTCCACACATCCTTACCGATCATAAATTATTTGGAGCACTTTTGAAGCATGTTCGAATGCATCAAAATTGCTCATCTGCCATCACCAGCACCTGACATTAGAAGCTACTGCCCGAGTTCATTAATTGGCGTTTCCAAATAAAACCAAATGTATTAAAAATAAATTGAGTATTGTTTAACATTTAGTTAAACAACATAGGTTACCATTTATTTTATATGTTATATTATGTTATGCGTTATAATTCAAATTCAGCCTCTTATAGAGCTCAGCGAAGAATCAGAGCAGCAGTCACGCAGGCCTCCGCAAACAACGGCGCATCAGCGGGCTCCCCTCGCAGAATTCGCAGATCGTGTAAGCGCGCGGTCAGAATGCGGGTGCCGGTTTTTCCAGGGTTATGAAGCACCAAGCTGATGTCACTGTAATTTTGACATGCTCGCCAGTTTGATAGCTTTAAGGCAAACACGTTCAACGCGGGATAACGCACTTTGGTTTTTTATAATCCGCCAGCCACATGAACAATACAGAAAATAACTATCAAACTTATTACACAAGATCTTGTCCGCGATGCATGAAGATAATCTAGTGGCAAGTTATGGGCTATGTGTGCGCGATAGGCTTGGTTAGTGTGCATTTCTCAAGAGTGCAGCGTAATTTTCAAATTACAATATAGTAGCTACAGCTGGTTAGAGTAATGACGAATCGAGAGCCGGAATGTCCATCCAGCAGAGTCAGAGATTACAGGTAGCTAATAAAAAGTATGTGGGATCATTGAAAGTCGGCAGCAAGACTTGTCCCGAGATAAAATACCGCCTATGATGAGATTGTTTATGTTGTTGAGAGCCTCGGAAAGGATCTGTAGAGGCTCCAAACTGCTCCAAGAAGCAGATAAGAAAGCAAAATGCGCCTTCTTAAGTGGAAAAGTGCACAAGATAAGCAAGCAGTTAAGGAGTTAAGTGAGGTGTAGAGCAGTTAGAAGCCCTATTGAACCGCGCCTCTCACACGTACGCCAATATACAA